AAATAAATGAATGGAAAGACATCCGTGACATATTATTTTGTGAAAATGGCAGGCTAGAACACAGTACATCTATTATGATCCTATTTTTGTTAAAGAGAAAAACATATGTATAGCCCAACTGGAACAGCGATGTGGGATTGACGGGTTGTTTTTTGTGTTGTTTTTTTGTTTCGTTTTGCATATCTAGGGTTTTTAAATGATCTACGAAGGACATGTACGCTTTGTCGTTCTTTGTATGCTTCTCTCCCTTGTCACCTGGAACTCCGACTTCCTTCCTGCTCTTCTCTAACGCAGAAGACCAAGCATTATACACATCTCTAGAATGCTGAACCAGCCCAACTCCTTGGCCAGATGGCAGAAAGCCAAGCCAAGGCCACTCATTTCCTCAGCCTTCTATCACAAGCAGCCTAAGTGCACTTATCGGAAAGCAAATGCATGGAGCTCCAGTACTGCTGTCTGGACCCACACCAGGGCCTTCTGGGCAGGCCACTGCTGAGAAGTCAGCTGGTTTCCTCCCTTTGGCTGGAGACATGCTTTGGTCTCCCTGAATTGCACCTTTTATGGCCCTGATGCAATTTTCCTGGTGTTCCACACCCAACTGGCTGAACCCCTGCTGGTGCTCCCGTCAAAAGGAAGCAAAAGACAGTGAGGAAATCTACAGCTCAGCTGTGCTGTGTTCTTGGGTGGATGTATAGGGTCCTAAAATAAACAGTGCTCTTGCTGACCAAGTTTGGGCCAGGGGCTGGGAGTGGACCCAATTCATCAGGATTCCTTTGGGACAGGATGGACTGCCCTGGGAGGCTTTCTGTTTCTAGGTTTCTTGGGAATTGCAATAGTTACCAGAAAAAAGAAAACAAAACAAAACACCCCATCCACACAGCTTGCCTCATCTGAAAGATAAACTCATCAAAATACAGCACAGACAACACTGCATGCCTTAGAAGCCCACTGATTTCTCCAGAACAGTAAGTCTCTGTTATCGTTCTCTCTAGGATGCTTCTTAACTCCGTTTGCACCTTCTGCTCTGTTGTTCTCTGCCCCTCCTGCCTCTGACCCAAGTTGGAAGTTCTGAAAAAAACTTTTCTCTCACTATCCCCAAATTTTTCATTCCACGTTCTCCAGTGATGGGCCCAGAGGTGATCATTTCTGATGCCCCATCCACTGCACTCCCAGCTGCTGCTGCTATGGCAAATAAGAGAAGGCAGCTGCTGTCATGGCCATAAGCCTCATGAATCTCTTCTGTGCAGTGATGGGGAGCTGCCCATGTCCTCACTCCAACCTGCTTATCTCAGGTCCCATCAGGCAGGAAGTCTATACAGCGTCTTAAGGGAAGTGTATAAATTATCATCAGAGAGCACAGTGGTTAATGCATTAGTTAAATACTCGCTTCTTGGGACCAGGGGTGTGTGATGTCGGGGGACTTACTGATCATGGTTGTACCACCCGCTAAGGCAGCCTTCGTCCCTTGGAAGAAGTCATCCACTGTGGTCATCCCCTTGTAGGGCATCTGGAAGTGAGTGTGGACATCAATGCCTCCGGGGATCACCATCTTCCCATTGGCCTCGATGGTCTTCACTCCTCCAGGGACAATCAGGTTGTCTCCAATTTGCCTGGCAAGACAGTGACACAACTGGTCATTTGAAAGAGTGACTTTGCAAACAAAAATAGGATTATAAGGATTACAAAGTAGTCTTTGCAGGTGATTCACAAGCTTAGTATTCTAGAAACAAATAAATGTAGATATCCACAAAAAAACATTTTTACAGACACAAAAACAATCCAACATGAGGTTTGGTGGAACCATGTGTCCTGGTTTAATACTGTAACCCCAGCGGTTTGATAGTGTCTGGAATATAGGGTATGAAATAAATTATTTTTGAAAATATAAGTGTTTGTATTATCTCTTTCATTTTGTTCTTTATTTTAGTTAAGGGTGAGGAATAACATTTGGAAAAGCATTAAAAGAGTGTAAAACAATGAGCTGTTAGGAGACTGTAGGAAGTAATAAATTATTTAAAGAACAGGTATGTGAACTTAGCTATCGTCTAAATGGGTTCATGAGTGCTCCTAACAAAAGAGGAATCGGTTGTTTTGCACCTCAGTCTTCACTCCCAATTCCACCCTTCCCTGATAATTTATCTGTAAATCACATCTCAAGACAGATTCAAAAGCAGGAAGTCAAAGAAGCAGATACCCAGCCCCAGCTGCTTTTGTGGGGTCAGCATCTCAACAGAAGCTTCAAATGAAGGAAGATGATTATGACAATCTCCACCAGACACACCTTTGCCCAGGAAGCTTAAGAGCATCCCAGGGAGGAAGAGTGGGGGCCTCTGGTGGGAGGGAAGCCAGTGAATATGCCAAAGGCACACTACACAAGTAACAAACACAACTACTCTTGGCACAATGTCGCCTCATAGCCCATCCCATGTTGCTTGGTTTATATATGATTTCAACCTTTGACTTAAATGGCCAGCAAAACCTGTCCAATGTGGATTCTAGGTAGAACTATGATTCGTAAGCCCTACGTTGTCCTTAAACATGACCACCCTTGGGGATGGATACATGTGCCCCACTGCCAGTGGCATGAATGCCTCCCCTTTTGTTCATAGCCAGCCAACAAAGACACTCTGTTGGGGCAGGAAGAAGTCCGCACTAGCCTGCCAAAATCTTACTTCTGCAACTAAAGTGTTCCTGACATCTCTAAGAGTTCAACCTCACCACATCACCACTGGGTCATTCCAAAGCCACCACAATTCAAAACACACTGTGGAAAATATGCAGCCTCTGATCGTAACCCCATCCTAGTCCAGATACTGGCCAGCTGTGTTCCTGTTTTTCTCCCTCACTGATTTTCCTCTGAGCGAAACTGAGAACCAAGGGCGTGAAGAGTTGCCGGGCCTGTGTGTGTTTGTGCGTGTGTGCATTTCCACCATTTTGCCAACTGGTACAACACCAAGTCTGAAACAGAAATGCCTTCCCCGTTTTTCTCCACCGAACTCACCAAGGTCACACTAATCCTTGAAGGCTCAGCTTCCATTGCCCCTCCAAACTCAAGTGTCTACTGACAGCCAGGCCTAATAGTTACGAGTGTGAATCTGCTCTGGATGAGGGCTGTCAAGATGTACAATCTTGGTTCTGCCAGTTGTGAGCTTTATAACCTTGGCCAAGTTACTTGACCTCACGAGGTCTCAATTCCTTCATCTGTAAAATGTAATACGGGGCCGGACGAGTGGCACGTTGGTTAAGAGCTGATTAGGACGCCAGAGGACCCCAGTTCGGATCCCACATATGAGGGCCAGTGACATTGCCCTCTACAGCTAAGATGCTGAACAAAAGGACAGCAACTTGTCTGTTCCCCTTCCCCCAATTCTCCAATAAAAATCTTAAAAAAAAAAAAATGTAATACAAATGCCTTACCCATAGGGTTGTTGTGTAGATTAAATGTTAATAGGTGTCAGGCCCAAAGAACACTGTTAGGTACGAAAGAATTCAACAAATATCAGCTATTGTACTGCTCCCCACAGCCCTACTCCTATATAACCCTCTCCTTCTTCTAAATCTCATCTATTCTACTAATGCAATACTTGACAGTAACATAATCTGGTAATGTTAGATCTGCCCTTTGCATGTATACAGATTTCTCAGTTCCCCTGAGCGACGACAAGGTCCCTGGTGGAAGAGTACATGATGGTTTGGGTACAACTGGCATCTACCATTGGTGAAAGAGCATGTGTCCCGTGACTTAGACAACTGCCTTGCACTTAGCAGGCTCTCCACAAACAGTCAAAGGAAAACAACTATGTAACAACTGGAGGAAATTACAGACACCCACCGACTTATGATAGGGTTACATCCCAATAAACTCACCGTAAATCGTAAAATATGGTAAGTTGAAAACGCATTCAGTACACCTAACCTCCCAAACATCATAGCTTAGTCTAACCTACCTTAAAT